GGTATAATTTGTATTTTCTTAGTGTCTTTTTTCCCTTCTTATATATAATTAGTTTGAATTTTCTTCCCTTATACAAATAGTTTGAGTGTTGGATAAAAACAAGTAATTTCCATGAAGTGAGATTATCTGATTACTGATGTCACAGTTTTTGAGCTGTGTCGGTGTTGTTAGTAATTTATAACTATTGTATGAATTTTTGAATTAAAAAATAGCTACCCTAAAGGCTCAATCAATGGGGTATCATCTCTAAGAATTAGATTGTTCCCATTATTCTCAAAATCCGTGAAATGTGGCCAATGCATATTTATAAGTTCTCATGAATATTAGATTATGAATTTTTTTTGATAAGAAATCATCCAATCTTCAGGTATTTGATCTTAAAACATTGGCATGGTTTACAATAAAATCAACCACAGATGTTCTTCCAGCTCTATCTGGCCATTCTATGGTGAGATTCATTACAGTTAATCTATAATCTACTTTTTGCTCAGCCCACGTGATGAAGTTATAATAATGACCTTTACTTCATTGATAGATTAGCTGGGATCACAAATTGCTGATTCTTGCTGGCCACTCAAGAAGTGTTTCTGATACTGTTATAGGTTTGATTTCTTGCCACTTGTCAAAGCTTCCAACGTGACAGAAAAAGCCATGTGCTCAACATTTTGACTGTGCACATTATTGTTGATCTTTTTTTGTAGTTAGGGTGATTGATCTGGAATCACACAACTGTTCTATTATGGAGACCTATGGAACACCACCAGTAAATATCTGTCTCTCTCAGAAACATTATATTTAGTGTCTGTCTGCCTTACTTTTATGAATTATCTTAAAGAGAACAACCATATGTATTTAGCTTGCCCGAAATTTGTCAATTGGGGTGGGGTTGGGTGAAGTGAGTGTCAGACCCATTTCATTCATACATCATTTTTAGGCTGTTCTTTTGTTGTCTTAATTTCCTAACTTGTTTGAAACACGTATTCAGGTAGCTCGTGGTGGGCAATCTGTGACACTCTTTGGTTCTAAGCTAATAATGTTTGGTGGTGAAGATAGGAACCGGCGGTTATTGAATGATATTCATGTTCTTGATCTTGAGACAAAGACATGGAGTTATGTGGAGACCACGTAAGTGACAAATTTAGTAGCATCGAACTTTAGCGTATGCATCGTGAAGAGTTCTTAATCACACTGTTTTGGCTTGATAGGCAGACACCCCCGTCTCCCAGATTTGATCACACGGCTGCACTACATGCAGATCACTACCTTCTAATTTTTGGCGGGTGTTCTCATTCAGTTTTTTTCAATGATCTGCATGTTCTGGACTTGGAAACGGTAAGTTTTTCTGGTTTGATGTAGTTTGAATTTTATATTTATTATGGAGTCGTCTTTTCCATGGTATCAAGATGCAAAATAAGTTTTAGACTTTTAGATATCCGTTCCATTTTTTCTATTTTACACAAAGTTTGTAGTTTTTGAGGCATGGAATGATGTTTCTCTTTATAATTTAATGGTTATGGTCTAGAAATGGCTTAAAGATGCTATGTATCTGCTACTTAAGCATCCTACGCCTTCTTCTGTCATTACATAGTTACAATAGCAAGTCATATGAGGCTTATCAGTTGTAACAAAATCGTATTGCATTTAGGGCAACACCGTAACATGTTTGCTTTTTATGTATTAGATGGAATGGTCTTGCCCCCAACTTCAGGGCGATATTATTGGCTCACGAGCTGGTCATGCTGGGGTCATCATAGACGAGAACTGGTACATAGTTGGTGGTGGAGATAACAAAAGTGGTACTGTGTGATCTGGGGTGTCTCAGGTTCTTGTTTACGATGGATACGTACATGTATATTGAAGAGCTTCTATTGTGTTTGTAGGTGTGCCAGAAACTCTTGTTTTGAATATGTCTAAGCTTGTCGTGTCAGTGTTGACAAGTGTCAAGGGGAGAGATCCACTTGCTAGTGAGGTAACTATCTTCCAAACATTTTTGTACTTTTTTTTCTCGACGTTCTTACAGATCCATGAATCCATTTCCCCCCTGATGTTCCGAATATTAATAGCTATTTGCCTATTTCATTGCTTTAAGTTCCATTCTTTGGTGAATGTGGTAGCCATATGTGCAATTAACTGCATCTCCTGCAACACACACAAGTACCATTTCCTCTCAGTTGTGTGTGTTTTTTATCTGAAGTTTCTAACTTTCTAGCTATGAGAAGTGACACATTCTTGTTTCTTCTTTTTATTTCCACATGAATTTTTGGGACATAGTTAGGCAGACTGGGAAGTTGTTAGGCTGTAACACTGCATACATTGATACCTTCTCCAAGCCTTGTGCACTAGTATGATCTATTTAGATAGGTAAATTGTAGCTTCATTGAAGAATCATTGTGCCAACAAAGAGAAATATTAGAAAAATAATACTGTCCCAAAAATGATTCCTATTTTACAAGGTACACTTTTCATTCAATTTTCTACAATGTACAACTGCTTTAAATCATTAGTCGTGGTTATATTTTTTAAATATTGTTGGTTTAATTAAATTTATCATATTTAGCCAGTTTGTGACTCCTTCTGTGTGATTTACATGAAAAATTAGCATTGTTTGATGAAATATGACCTTTTTCTCGTCATAAAAAGTTCTTAAAATATAACTCTTTTCTTAGAAGGGAGTAGATAAATTTGAACAAGATATTTAGGCTCTGGAATAGGCTATGCGCCTATGTGAAGTAAAACAGTAAAAATGCATGACTTGATGCACATTATTTAGCATGAGTAGCTGTCCTCTTGTTTTTTGTTTCTTTTGTCTCCACTGCTTCCTAGTTTTCAGTCCGGTGTAAGACTGTTAGATATAATCGGGTTTGTTCACATATAACCGAATGGGTAATGAGTCAATGTTCGGGTCAGACAGTATAGAGTCAATTAGTGTGGTGTCGTTTAGTGTGTTTTACATATTTAATTAATTTAAAAAACAGTGGGTAGTTTCTAAAAGGCAGGTATGGGTAGTTTCTATTGTTAATAGGTGTGTTGGTTTGTAATAGTTGTGTTGGTTAGTAAAAGTCATGTTGGTCTGTTCTCTATTTATATTTAGAAAACACAAATAATCCAGTACAGTTTTACATCAATAAAATATTCTACTTTGCTTTGATTTGGTTGGTTGGTCCTGTGTGACAATTGGTATCAGAGCGAAAATCCAATAAGGACCCAACGATCAAAGGGAGCGGTCTGTCTTGTGATCAGGAGTTGTATGATCGGGAGTAGAAGGGCTGCCAAATCATAATACAAAGCGTTAGAGACTTCCTCGACAACAGATAAAGAATCTTCGACAAGATTCTTCCTCGCCTAGGACAAAAATAGCAGGTGGCTAATTTTTTTCCTTTGGCAGAAGCATTCCATCCAAACAGCGCGGGAAAAACGAATCAGCGGGGTAGCTTTCGTTTAGTGGCTTGGAAGACGGAAAAGCAGGGGCTTGTTTTCTGGCTGATGGTGGATTGCAGGTGGCTTACGACCCGGGAAGGAATCGAAGTTAAGAATTTTGTGAAAATTGTCGAAGGAATAAAAGTCGTACAATGGGAGAACAACGAAAATAAGACAGATTGTGACTACAAGGGAGAATAGTTAACAGTTTTCCAACCTTAACCCGAGGAAGAAGATATGCAAGGTAAACTACTATTCACTAAAAGTGATGGAAAAGAGAAGGTTAAGGAGCACAAAACTGAGCATTGTGGTTGCGGGAGCTCAAACCGAGAAGACTTTGGACGTGGCCGAGGTAGAGGTCGGGGGTCCGGGAAAAGTCGGGATGGTGGACAGTTTCAGCGGGAAAAGAGTCACATTAGGTGCTTCAAGTGCAATGAGTTCAAAATGGGATCAAAAGGAACACATTGCAAATTTGATTAAAGATGATGATGAACCAACGTTGCTGTGAAGATCAGTGTGAACAAACAACGATTAGGGGCGTGATTGTTAGATATAATCGGGTTTGTTCACATATAACCGAATGGGTAATGAGTCAATGCTCGGGTCAGACAGTATAGAGTCAATTAGTGTGGTGTCGTTTAGTGTGTTTTACATATTTAATTAATTTAAAAAACAGTGGGTAGTTTCTAAAAGGCAGTTATGGGTAGTTTCTATTGTTAATAGGTGTGTTGGTTTGTAATAGTTGTGTTGGTTAGTAAAAGTCATGTTGGTCTGTTCTCTATTTATATTTAGAGAACACAAATAATCCAGTACAGTTTTACATCAATAAAATATTCTACTTTGCTTTGATTTGGTTGGTTGGTCCTGTGTGACAAAGACATTGATGTAAGACAATACTACATATAATTAACAATTTCCTATGCGTCATACGATATTTGAACCAGGGACTAACTGTATCCTCAGCATTACTAGATGGCGAGAATTTTTTGGTTGCATTTGGCGGCTATAACGGAAAATACAACAATGAGGTACTTTTATAAATATTGGCTCTGTTTAAGTCTGGAGTACATTTTTTCTATCAATTAATGTTTTGGAATATTCTTCCATTAAAGAACTTGTTTTACTTTACCTAAGAGCATTAGACACCTTGTACATGTCAAGTATAAGGGCTAAAATGGTATACAACATCTCAAATGCAGGTATTTGTTATGAGGCCTAAACCAAGAGATTCATTGCTTCCCAAGATACTTATGTCACCAGCAGCTGCAGCTGCTGCAGCTTCCGTCACTGCGGCTTATGCCTTGACTAGACCTGAAAAATTGGACTTAACTGCAAGCGAAGATTCAAATTTTAAGGAATTCAGGAATGGTACCTCCCAAAAGGATTTATCTTATGAGATTGGTGTGATTAGAGAAGAGAAAAAGGAATTGGAATCATCTCTTGCTGAAGTTACAGCAGAGAACTCTGCTCTCAAGGCAAAGGTTGATGAAGTTAACATCACTTATGCGGACTTATCCAAGGTACTCTAATTTTGTAAATTATAAATTAGTTGTGATCACCCAACTGAGGTGATAACACATATTGGCCAAACCTTTCTAAATTATGTATTGGTCAATTATAAACGAGTTGTCAATTATGAAGTATTTCTCGGGTAAATTTCATCAATGGTACCTGAACTTTAGCTGGAATTTCGAAGTGGTACCTAAACTTCAAATCCTTTCAAAAAAATTCCTGAACTTACACAATCCATTCACTAAAAGTCCATTTGCCCTTTTCTAGGTTAACTTCTGGTCATTTGGGCCAAATTGGGTAAATTTCATCAATGGTACCTGAACTTTAGCTGGAATTTCAAAGTGGTACCTAAACTTCAAATCCTTTCAAAAAAATCCCTGAACTTACACAATCCTTTCACTAATAGTCCATTTACCCGTTTCTAGGTTAACTTCCGGTCATTTGGGCCAAATTAGAATTTTATATATTTTAAAATTTTCAATTTGACCCCATTCCTTCTTTTCTTTTCTTCCGCGCCCCGCCGCCGGTCAAAGTCGCCGGAAAATGAACTTGGTCCGATTCTGGCGGGACCAACGCCATTCTCTTCGTCTTGAGACGAGGATCAAGAATATCCAAACAATTCTGTCCAATTTGGCCTGTAACTCCTCGAATCTGAATTTTTCCACTCGAAAAAACCCTAAAATTCGAAATTAAGTCCAAAATTGGGGTTTTTGCAAATCGTCATCAAATCTTGCAATTGAGGGGTCCTTGGAGGTCGCCGTGATGCCAAGAACACATTGGAGTGTATGACCAGCGTCAATTTTGCCGGATTTAGCCGGAAAACGCTCCGACCCGGGTCGGAGCGTTTTCCGGCTAACTCTGGCAAATTTGATGCCGGTCATCCACTCCAATGTGTTCTTGGCATCACGGCGACCTCCAAGGACCCCTCAATTGCAAGATTTGATGACGATTTGCAAAAACCCCAATTTTGGACTTAATTTCGAATTTTAGGGTTTTTTCGAGTGGAAAAATTCAGATTCGAGGAGTTACATGCCAAATTGGACAAAATGGTTTGGATATTCTTGATCCTCGTCTCAAGACGAAGAGAATGACGTTGGTCCCGCCGGAATCGGACCAGGTTGATTTTCAGGCGAGTTTGAGGTGGTGTGACGGCGGCGGGGAGCGGAAGAAAAAAAACAAAAGAAATGGGGTCAAATTGAAAATTTTAAATTATTTAAAATTCTAGTTTGGCCCAAATGACCGGAAGTTAACCTAGAAACGGGCAAATGGACTTTTAGTGAAAGGATTGTGTAAGTTCAGGGATTTTTTTGAAAGGATTTGAAGTTTAGGTACCACTTCGAAATTCCAGCTAAAGTTCAGGTACCATTGGTGAAATTTACCCAGTATTTCTCTATATATTTTTGAAAAGAGGTTTTTTACAGCGAGGGGCAGTGTCATAATATGACATTGGGCACTTTGAGGGCCTTTCGAACCCCCAACCCGCCCCTGCCTTAAACTATAGCATAAAGGGGAAACCCAGTGGACTAGGGGAAGGGAAAGGGCAATGGGGGGGGGGTCACTTTGGGGTCAAAGTCATCGAACGAAGCATCGTAGGGTTCTCAAATGGCGTGTGTCATATTATGACGCCCATGAATGATGTCAAAAGAACATCACTCATATTTTCAAACCAGGATTTTTAATGGACTACGAAGCTATTTTGAATATAACTGGTTAGCCACTTGAAATGTGGAAACTTGTGTTCCCACTCAAGTCATGAGGTGAACTAATCAGTTTACTCTTCCCCTCAAGCAGTGCAACAGGCTGTTAACTCGAACAAACGAGGTGGGCTAAACTGCTAATGCCACCATGATGAAATTCACTCAACCGGTTCACAGTGCACACGAAACCAACCCAGACTAAAACACTAGTTCTGGTATATATATGCATTATGGCGCTGGGTTCTTAGCCATGCTCAATTACTGTTTCAGGAATTTCATTCAGTTCAGAGTCAGCTGACATCCGAGCGATCAAGATGTGCAAAATTGGAGGTTATACCCTTCTTCCACAGTTCACTTTCTTGACTTGTGCAAATCTCAAACTTGTTTCACCCCAACTTTTCAGGCACAAATAACAGAGCTACGCAAGATGCTTGAGTCAATGCAATTGGTAGAGGAAGAGGTTGAAGAACTGAGGAGGCAGAAGTATGAAATGGAACGCGATATGGAACTCGGAGTTTCCCAGGGCCAGAAGTCAGGTGGTGTTTGGAAGTGGATTGCCGGTTAGGTTTTGAAATGCACCTTGGGTAATAGCATCATCCTTCGTGCAGTAGTTCAATGGTTTTGTGAATCTATATTATATTTTAGTGTCTACCATGAGAAAAATGTGTCCCAGATTTTTCTTCCGAAGGTTATACAGCAGTTTAGAGTTTCTTAATTCTTTGACTTTGTTTTCTCTTGTGTTCTCTTTCAAGTGTTCTTAATACCAAGAAGTACCAACAACATTTTCAATTGTAATACATATATTCATTTGTAACATGTTTTTTTGTGGGTTTCACAACCTTGGATTGCTTCATTGCTTGCCTCTTATGTATTACAAGTATCATGAAAAAATTGTTGCTATGACTACAATGTTGGGTTGTAAATGAACCGAATTGAATTGAGTATTAATGAATATTATTCGTATTTGTTAGTTTTAGATGGTATTCATATTTGTATTCGTAGTTTAATTTTTTTAGAGATTTGTATTCAATTCGTTTATCGTACATAAGATATTCAGTTTGTTTAAATCTTTGATTCGTTTAAAAATATTAAGTTCATTTGAATTTTAAGATATGTTTTAAACATTTAATTTACTCCTTAAAAATGTAAATTATATTAAACTATTTTTCCAAAACTCTTTGTATGAGTATATTTTGGAATTTGCTATTGAGGAAAAAAAATTATAAATTGCAATTTACATATTGAATATGAAAATAAAAACATAGGGAATACGGACTACTACATTCGATTTTTAGGCAATTATTGAATTTCTTATTTATTTTTTAATATTTACTATTTTGGCTCTTTTTTTAAATATATTTGTGTAGGGAGCAAATAAAAAATGAGCATATTTATATTTTTATTCGTTAGTGTAACGAAAAACAAATACCATCACTGCCAAAAACAATAAATAAGAAATACTCTTCATATGCAGATTTGATTTTTTCAAATACAAATCAATACAAACAAATACGAATTACGAATCAAATTAAAATTTTTTGGTTCATTTACAACCCTATTGCTATATGTCAAATCGGGCTTTAACCATGTTTAGCACATTACTACTCTCTTCAATCTTACCCAAATCTGATCTTAGACGTATGTTCTTCAATCTCGCTCTAATCTCATCTTAAACGTATGCTCGTCTACTTTTGGATATTAATATGTTTATTTAATTAAAATTGGTATATTGAGCCTTAATTTATTCATTTATCCGGTCTAATATCCATCACAAGGTCTCCTAACTTTTTAATTAATGACATCAATAAGAAATTAATGATGAAGTAGTCTCTTTCATGTCACAAAAAAAGCACACAATTACTCCCTCTAGCTCCCAAAATGTTTTGCATTTTGCATAAAATGAATCAAAATTTTAAAATTTTGAATTTATTTAATTTAAAGATTGATATATAAATAAAAATAAAACATATATAATTAGAAAATATGTCAAAAATTTTACACGAAAAGAGATGACAAAGAACTTTATTTTATGAAATACTAATCAATAAATGCACAAATCAACAAAAATTCCAGTAATTTTTGAATGCTAATTGTTATCATAAAATGCATAAATTAACAAAAATTACATTAATTAAAAAAATTAAATTTACATAACTAAAAATTATGTCAAAAATTTTATAAAACAAGAGATGACAAAAATATTTTTTTATTATACACTCGGTAGTAATCAATAAAATGCACAAATAACAAAAAAAATTATACTCCCTCCTCATATCTTTCTTCGCAATGCATTATTCTAATTTCGCAGAAACTTTTATTTATTTGCATTTTTCATGACATATATGATAAAATAAAATATTCTTTTCATCACTTGTTTTTTTGAATTTTTGATATAGTTTTTAAATATGTAAGTTTTATTTTTTATTTCTATACCAATGTTTAATCAATAGAGTCACAAACAATTTAGATACAAATTACACAACTTTACTATTTATCTATTTCAAATTTTATTTTGTAATTATTTAAAAACCATTTTATTCTCTTAAGAAAGTTTGAAAGTGCACAAATGAAAAATTTGTGTAGTTTGTGTTCAAGTTACTCCGTATTTGTTAGAATAAATTCCTAAAATCGTCCGTTGTAATAAGATATTTTCCCAATTTGGTCCTCTATAAGTTCTAATTACTTATGTGATCCTTTATAATTAAGTTTTATTCCTCAGGTAGTAGCCTTCGTAAATAATATCATTCAAATGATGATTAATTAAAAAATATTTTGATATTTCTATCATCTAAATTTAAAGTTTATTTTTTAAATGATCATTTTATACAATTAAATGTAAAATTAAAAAAAAATACATTGACTATACATAATATATGCATTATTAAAACTCTATATAAATTTTTTAGAACTCGAATCAAATATACATTTTTAACTAGAAAAAATCATTTTGAAAAAAACACTTTATTGATCATTTTAATAACTTAATCTAAATTTCACTTATCCACCAACTAATCATCATTACTCTTTTAAGTTTGGCAAGTGCCTGCAAGGAACCACCAGCAAGCAATGGCGGCGGCAATGGCGAAGATGCTGCGAGTGATAATCTGCATCGTTTTTCAGCCATTCCATTCCACCTCTACATTTCCCAACTTCGTCTCAAACAGAACCAAAATGAGTATTCTTCGTCCCCAAACACTTCTCATTCCTTCCTCAAAGATAATAGCTCTCGAGCCAGAGTATCTGATTTGAGCTCTCATGCCGTGCGCCTCCAAGCATCTCAGGCCAAGCCTCTCCGCGAAACCATGTAACATCTTCTTCTTCTTCTTCTCCCCCTCCCCTCTCATTCGTCGCCGCTTTTCATCCCTTCCCAGTCCATCGGAATCGCAAGACAACCAAAGTCCGATTCAACATCCGGATCTTCACCCCGTCCGGAGAGATCCCCCAATTTCCGATGAACTGTTCATTCTCGCCCCCAGATCGGGCTCTCACAAGCAGGGCGACTCCACCTTTTATTCTCTCATCAAGAATTACGCCAACTCCGGGGACTTCAAGTCTCTGGAAGAGGTTTTCGATAGGATGAGGCGCGAGAAGAGAGTCTTCCTGGAGAAGAGTTTCATCCTAGTGTTTAGGGCTTATGGGAAAGCGCGCCTGCCCGATAAAGCCATTGATCTTTATGAAAGAATGGTGGTTGAGTTTCAGTGTAGACCGACCGTTAGGTCATTTAATTCGGTTCTTAATGTGATTATACAGTCAGGTGAATTTAATCTCGCGTTGCAGTTTTATTCCGACATTGTTGTAGATAGGAGGGTTTCAGTGCCAAATGTGTTGACATTTAACTTGATTGTTAAAGCAATGTGTAAGCTGGGTATGGTGGACAAAGCAGTGGATGTGTTCAGGGAAATGCCTGAGTGGGAATGTAATCCGGATGTTTATACGTATTGCACTTTGATGGACGGGTTATGTAAGGCAGATAGGATTGAGGAAGCTGTTTCTCTGTTGGATGAAATGCAAACAGAGGGATGTTTCCCCACTCCGCCGACTTTCAATGTTTTGATCAATGGGCTCTGTAAGAAGGGTGATTTAGTCCGAGCCGCGAAGCTTGTGGATAATATGTTCCTCAAAGGGTGTGTTCCTAATGAAGTGACGTACAACACGCTCATACACGGGTTGTGTCTTAAAGGGAAGCTGGAGAAGGCGATTAGCTTGTTGCATAGGATGGTTTCTAGCAAGCACGTCCCTAACGATATAACATATGGGACTATCATTGATGGTCTTGTCAAGAAAGGAAGAGTCGCCGACGGTGCACAAATCTTGAAAGCAGTGGAGGAAAGGGGATATGAAGCAAACGAATATGTTTACTCTTCGCTAATCAGCGGGTTTTTCAAGGAGAGAAATCCCGAAGAGGCAATGAAAATATGGAAGGAAATGGTTGAGAAGGGAAGAAGAAAACCTAACACAGTTGTTTATTCTGCTCTTATAGATGGCTTGTGCGAGGAAGGTAGGCCCGATGAGGCAAAGGAGATACTGTTGCATATGATCAATGCGGATTGCACTCCAAATGCATATACATATAGTTCCCTGATGAAGGGTTTTTTCAAAATGAGTAAAAGCAATGAGGCCTTGGAGTTGTGGAAAGATATGGCAGACCAAAAAGTTTTACCGAATGAAGTTTGTTACAGTGTACTAATCCACGGACTGTGTGAGGTTGGTAAAGTGAGAGATGCTTTGATGGTATGGAAGCAAATGATGAGCACCGGGTGGAAACCTGATGTCGTGTCATACACTTCAATGATATCTGGTCTCTGCAATTCCGGGTCAGTCGAAGGAGGACTAAAACTTTTCCATGAGATGTCATGCGGAGAATCTGGAAGTCGACCTGATGTGATAACATACAACATACTTTTTAGTGCTTTGTGCAAGCAAGATAGAATTTCACATGCCATTGATCTTTTA